CGAAGCTAAACGTGCGGAATATTCAACGAGCACACATATTGTTATGCTCTATACTCTTGGTCAAAGTAGTTTGCAAAGTTTCTCTCCTCTTCTTTTTTTTATTATGACGTGGATGTGTGACGTATGAACGGGTATGAGATTGCGTGCATCTGTGTGTCGTTCTATAGAATGCTGTGCCATATTACAGTCGTGTGTACGTTTGCTCTTTAATCGATGCTGCTATATTATACATAGGGATACCGCGGCTCGAATCATAAATAACTTTCGTTTCTGCTTCTTTTTTCCGTCTCTTTCCCTTTAATTTATTTCCGTGCGAAATATTTCACGAAATATTTCACGAAGGTGCTCGGTCTAGTATGCACACATTCTCGTTGTTATCAATAATAACTGGCATTCCCAATTGATGGGCGACTCGTCGATCCTTCCCGCGGGTGTTTGGGAGAGAATCGATACACGCGGTGTCTTCGTCGAGACGTTATTTACGACTCGAGCCGATGTTAAAGACGGTGCAATACGAACGAGCGTTTGTACAGTGAACGCGTCGACGATACGGGACGATGCGTTAACATCACGAAAATGTATCTCCGCGAGGTCGCATGCTCGCAAATCCCGCGATCGTACGTCGGAATTTTCGCACTTTTGCGCCTCGTGTCTCCCCATAGTGTGCAAATAGGCGTGCGTGACGTTTCGCGTGCGGAATGCAGGCGCGCACAAATAAGTCGCGATTTGCGTCCGATATTCCCGGACAACTTTTCATATTTCTGAATTGTCCATTGTAATCCTCGAGTAATCCCCGCGAAAAATACGCGAACACGTTCTCGCCTCTCGTTCATGGCAAACGCTCGTACACTGAGAGAGAAAATATCTGAATAAAAAATAGAGAAAAAAAAACATGTATCCGATGGATACTAAAAACATATTTACAATCTAAATTCTTTAGTTTAAATAAAATAAGCAGCTACTTTGACGTAAAGCTGAGATTTTAAGAAAATGTATATCTCCGTATTTGAAAAATATTTTATATATTAGTATAAGTGAATGTGTTATTAGTTACCCGTCGAACAAATATTTTTTAGTCTTTAGATATTTTTCCTCTCAGAGCCATATCAACAGTCGTTACCTGAAACTTGTGCCCCGGGTGAGATACTTAAACCCGTATTAACAGCCGTTACTTGAAACACGCCTCGATAAGACATCTAGATTAATTTAGAGTTAGACGTGAGTTTTTTTAGCTGAACATCGCTATTGCGAATGTAATGTTCACATGTATCACATATTTCAAGTAAAAAGGTCTCATCTAACTCTAAATTCAGATCTGAGCTCACGTAGGACGTTTCAAGTAACTGCTACTTATATATCGTGCCTTATATCTTAATTTACAGTTAAGTGTGAGCTTTCCAGTTGAATCGCGTGATTATAAATGTAATGTCGCTTGAATTATATACACTTAAAAAAAAACACAAATCAAATTCTAAATTCAAATCTGAGTATCTCACAGAGGACCAATTAACGACTATTGATATACGAACCTCAGTGTGGGAAGGACAATGAGATGATACGGGC